CAGGGTGGCGCCTCTCATACGCCGCGGAGGCTCCAAGGAGAACGACAGTTTGTATTGAAATGAAATTTTGTGAGCATATGTAGGTTAATTCAGAGAACTTTTTAAAAATATAAAGAGTTCTACATGGTGTCCCCAAAAAAAGTTACATATCAAAGTTGTGTTTTTTGTAATGGAACACCCTATATATTAATTGATTTTCGGATTCTAGGAAAAAATAAAGGTGAGTTTTATAAGAGAAGTATATGACTAAAATGTAAGGTTTTTGACATATTTAACATTTTCTAGAAATAAAGAACAATTTTTAAATTACAATAAAACCTACTTAAATTGGAATTTACCCGGTATAACCTGATATGTAGTTAAATTAACTATTGTACTTTAAATCAAATTAAAACTTGATCCAAAAAGTTATACAGGGTGAGACAAAATTAATATTGAACATTGGTCACCTTCAAAGGTATGTTAGTCTTTTATTTTAAATGTAACACCCAGTATATTGTTCCAATATTCAATGGAATATTTATGTCTCTTCAGAATACTATTAAAGTTGCCTACCCCTCAAACAAAGATTTTCATAGATATTTTCATTTTCATGATTTTATCCCAGTGGAAATTTATTGGATATAGATAAAATCTAGAGTGGCTGTGATATGTTTGACGTTACTTCAACAAAGCTGTCTAATTAGTCCAACTTTAACAGCTAGTTCATTTTGTGTCAGTTAAAACAAAAAAAATATCAGAAATTTGCCGAAAATGCAAACTTATCCTACATCAGAGAGAATTGATATGATTCTATTAGTTGGTGAATGCAGTGTGCATTAATAGATAACTTAAATGCTCCTGATCTTATCGAATCTGGATTTTTTTATGGGGATATGTTAAAGACAGTGTTTACAAAACTCGACCAACTATTGTCGACAATATGAGAGAAATTATTGTAGCTGCTTTTTGAGGTAGAACTCCACATAATACCTTTTAAATTGAAAAGATCCTTTTGAAAAAATAATCATTTTATATAGTTAACAGGAAAGAAAGCATTCTGAGCATTTGATTTCATCTAGCTAATTTTTGTCACATAATTATAGGTTTATGTCTAGTTTTAATACTGTAATAATTAAACTTTGTTTTAAACATGTATCTTTTTATTACCGTTGAATATTTTACTCTACAATCTTTAATTTTTGTTAAATTAACAAAAGGTATATCACAACCACCCTAGATTTTTTCAAATAATAAAGATCTACTGACGCAAAATCATAAAAATTAAAATATCTAGGAAAATCTTTGTCTGAGGGGTAGGCAACCTTAATAATATTTTGAAGATATATAAATTCCCCATTGAACACCCGAATAATATACTGGGTATTCCATTTAAAATAAAGGAGTAACTTGTTTTTAAAAGTGACTGATGTTCCATATTAATTTTGTCGCACCCTGTATAACTTTTTGGGTCAAATTGTACCGGACATCCTTCAATTTTTCACATTTATTTATTGAAAATTTCTGTTTGCTAAATCATTTTATAATATTCTGCACGAATATTCAAGATGGTGGTTTGGACAAATATTCCGTCGCAAAAAGGGCTACTAGAAAAAGAAATACAAGATTCTTTTAAAATTTTATATAAACGAAGTATTAAGATTGAATTTAAAAAGGAGCGTACATACAGCATATAAAATTTAATATTCAATTTCAATCCATATACGCCGTTTTCAATACAGAACTTTTCTACAAATCAATACAAATAAAATTACTTTCTGATAACCAATCTTTGAAAATAAAATGATTTTTCGTCATACTATATTGTTATATTATTATAACATAAGCAAAATCAGAATGGAAAAGATGCATATAACGTCCGCCGGACGTTATCATAACGGCCGGCGGCCGTTAAGTTTCTAAGGTAATCGTAACGTGTGTCACCTGCAACAATGACTATTTATTGTCAGTTGGACTTTTCAAAAATTGGGAAAATAGACCATAGCGAGATGTCGCGAGAAATTCCGTTGGAAATACAGGAGGAAGCGGCTGCGGCTACTCAAAATTATACTTCCGACTATAACCAGAGAGAGATATCAGCAGGAATATGACAATTTTTTGAAGTGGCGGCAGGATAGAAGTATAAACAGCGTAAATGAAGCGGTATTGCTGGCTTATGCTAAAAGAATGTCTGAAATGTATTCTCCTACATCACTGTGGACAAAGATTCCATGCTGAAGCTTGCGTTGAGAGTATATGAAAACATCGACATATCAAGGTAAAAAGCCATTATATTCTTCGATATTTAATCATACTCATCTAAATTATATTTGTTCATAGATTTGGTAAACTGTTCATGTTTCTGAGGCGCAAAAACGAAGGTTATTCACCAAAAAGCCAAAGTTCTGTCGGAGAATGACATAAATAATTTTCTACTGGATGCCGATGATTACACCTGGTTACTCGAAAAATTGTATTGGTGCTTGGTATTCTTGGAGCTTGTAGGCGCATCGAGCTTTGGTCACTCACAGTTGATGATTTCGAAGATTCGGAGAAAAATATTCTTGTCTCATTAAGAAATACTAAAAAATAAGAAAGATAGGAAATTTCTTATTCCAAAAACGGGCCTTCCGTTTGATGCCTATGGTTTATACAAAAAATACATCAACCTGCGTCCTCGTAACTTTGACAATCCAAAATTTTTCATTGGTTACAAGAAAGGCAAGTGTGTTAAGCAAATCGTCGGTATACATACCATCGGGAGCGTACCGCAGAAAATTGCAAAATTTTTGAACTTGGAGAATCCAGAACGTTATACAGGGCATTCATTTCGTAGATCATCAGCAACCATGCTCGCCGAAAATGGTGGTGATTTACTATCGCTAAAGGAGCTAGGAGGATGGGAGTCTTCAACAGTGGCAGAAACTTACATAGAAAAATCAGTTTCCAAAAGAATGAAAATAACAAATCAACTTTTTCATGATAGCTCCAAAAATAATGTGTCTTTAGTGGATACAAATATTTGCCATTCTTCAGTAGCATCATCTTCTTTCTATAAAATCTGTAAATCCCTGGGAAGGATTACAGATTTCTAAGAACAACAAGTGCACTTTTTAATTTCCATGTTCATTATCATGAAAAATGAATTTTAGTATAAGACATTATGTATTTTTATCCTTACTTGTGTTATTGTTCAATAAAATTTGTTATTAAATAGTAGTGTTTATTGCTCTAAAAAATCTGCAGTATGACGAAAAATCTAGAACGCAACACGGCCGATAACAAATAACGGCCTTGGCTGCTTATGATCCTCGGCTATCGCCTCGGACCACAAACTTCAGCCCGGCCGTTATTTGTTGTTTATCGGCCTTATTACGTTAATAACTATAAAATTCTATGTTATTTAAAATGATGTGCATAAGCAGAGCCTATCTGTTACTCAACAAAATTAAATATACATTTTTAATTTAAAGGAGACGTTTTTAATACTGCTAGAAAATTGCTCCTCTGTAAAATATATTTAATATAATTGCTTAGCCTGTAAGGAATCCTATCTGGAAATTCTTTTTGAGTACGAAATACCTCGAAATTAAAAATTAAATTTCTTACTATGTTGTAGAAAGAATTATTGAGTTTAATTTAATTAAAATTATGTAATACCCGAAGAGCTGGCGACATATTTAGAGAACATATTTTAGGCAAGTTAGAATAACAAAAAAAAATAAATTTAATAACTTGTGAACCCAGAATCCTAAGTCTGGCTGGGGGGTTGGGGATATTTCGCTACTGCGCAACCCATAACATTTGCAAAAAAATAAATCCAAAAAACATTCTTTAGGCAACTTGAAATTTGTTTATTCTTAAATTTTAGCATCTATTTAACCTAGAAATAAGTGTGCCAGACTTTTTTTTCGGGTTTAAAGTGTAACTAGACCATTCCAAATATGTTTAATTATTATACCTGGAAAACATACTTTAGGCATTCTAAAATTTTTACACCGTGTTTATTAGATGATATTAAAAAAATATGTGTTAATTGCCAGACGAATTCAATGAGCGCGAGAAAGATAGTTTATTGAGATCCGTCGGCAGCCGATGCGGCTGACGTAACAGTATTTTGGAGTACTTCAAATTTTCATAAAAACAATATTTTTTCGGTTTCATTTCAATTATTTGCAGGCTTTTAATTCAGAGATTATTTTGTTGGAATTAAGTTACCATATAGATACAAATAATGTATTTATAAATTAAATATTGACGTGCATAGTGTAAATAGTTTAGAATAATTACTGCAAATAAATATTTTAGTAACTACTAATTTCGCTACTAACTACTAAATCACAATGGATAAAAAACATTTAAGTTATGTAGTTTGTAAAAAAGTTACTAGTGACAAAGTTATTGTTTTTGATGAAGGCAGACTACAAAAATGCAAAGAATTTTTAAAAGTGCGCCAACAACATGGTTTAAAATTTAAAGAAGTGGTTTTACCAGAAAACGTAGTCCCGACAAAAGGGTACCATGTACAGTGCTAAAAAAATAAGTAATCTGGAATTTTATTAAAGTACCATTCTTAATCTTTCTAACTAGATTCAAAAGTAAGTAAAAGTGCTTTACTTTTATGCTTAGGCGTTAAAATGACTTTTTTATATTGTCAGGTCGCAAAAATTAATAATAATATAATATGTCACAAAAGTATCATAATAATTATAGTTTTGTGACGTTTGAAAAACATATATTTTATATTATGCTAATTTTTAAATAATTATTCGTCTTTTTATTCTTTCAGATACAAAATACTTGAATTAAAATGTCTTCTTATTGAAAGGATTTCAATCATACATAAAAAATGTTTCTTTTTATTTATTCAATATTATTTTGTGTCTCTATACTCATCAAAAAGAAACCCCCCCAAAAAAGCCCCAAAAATGGGACATCCTGTACAGTAAATTTTGTCTATATTATTTTTTCTGAGGTGTTAAGTAATATAATTACGTGTTTATATTTTTATTTTCAGATTAACCATGACCAGCGATCCAGGACTCTCAAATGTCATATTTTTTCCGTCAAATACATCAGTTCAACAAGAACTCCTGTCAAACTTGTCAGTATTTAACTCTACAAATATAAACAGCACGATTTACCAGCCTGTCAAAGAGCAACAAGACTACATCTTCGACAAGATCTACATCAGAGCAATCTTCATCACCCTGTATACTATAGTGTTTGCTCTATGCTTTTTCGGTAAGTCTTTATAAAATTGATTGTTAGTAATAATAGTATAGTTTATGCAGTGGAAAATAACGATAATTAAATGGTTTTTATACAAATGGGTGGTCCAAACTGTATTCCGGAAAATTCCGGGCAGCATGAATTCAAAAATCGATATCTCCAAATCTATTAGAAATAATAGATTGTAGTTTTTTTCAAGAACTTTGTTAATATTTCTGCTATATTTTCTTTGTGGGCAGTATGTAAAAATCTTTATCAATAAAAAATTACACGATTGCTGAAAATTGCTATGCTCAGTAGTTTTATACGGGTACCGACAAAAAGTTATTACGCTTCAAAACAGTTAAAACACATGCAGGTAGGAGCAATGCAAATAGGAGTCATATTGACATCAAAATCAAATTTCTCATGTCAAATAACTCCTAGACACCAATTTTCACCTAAATATTGACGTTACTTCAGACATTATTTGGAAAAAAACGAAATAAAAATGAAATTTCTACTCCCTGTATCTCTGAAACTAAGCATTTTAGGACATACATTTATACGAACTTTTTTACTTATTTTTAGTAGTGGGAACTATCGAATGAATACTATCGAAACATTCGATAGTTGCAATTCATTCGAATAATTCGATAGCTAGTAAGAAAACATTCGTCGAAAACTATTCGAATAAAAATATCGAATAGATGCGTCATCTGCCTTGAAATACATTAATTCGGCACCAAAAACCATTCATTTATAAAATTCATTCATTTGTAAAATTCATTTATTCGTCAGGATCGATTATATATATAAACTGGATTTTAGTTGTCGCCCGGCGACGTAGGTTTCTTTCCTAGAAACCCGACAGCGGTCGGTGGCAATGGTATGAAAAAAGCCGGCATCTTTGATTTTGAGTCAGATAAAGATAAGGACACATTATTTTTTTTATTGAGGTGCTAGTATTTACACAGAAAATACATTATGAACGGCGCTGTTGTCGTATATTCGTATTAGTTGGTATTAGCAAAGAATATTATTCTTTGGTATTATAGTTAGTTAGTGATAGTTTGACTATATATTTTGCATTTTTTTATTAATATTCTGTTGTTACACTGCAATAATACTTTTTATTTTGGATGTAGGAAAATGATTTTTAATGTTTTTAAGAAAAACTGGTTTAATAAAAATAATAATAACAGTAATAATTTGTTATACCTATTAACAACAAAATTTAAAATCATTTAATATAAACATTTTTTTAAGTAGTAGCAAAATATAAACAACAAATTAGAAGTCCAAATTATTTATATTAGATCCTATTTAAAATTAATATAGTCTCTAAATTTTTTGTGTGGCAACGTTGGTTTATTAATTAATAATAATTACAGAACTAATTAGTTATATTAACAACAAATTTTAAAATCATGAAATGTAAACATTTATTAATTTTCTAAGCATGCAGTGTAATAGAAGAAAAATATAAATAAAAAGAAATCAAAATAATTATATATGTGTATTACTTTTTATTACTTTGTATTAGTATTTAAAAATAATATTTGCTTTTACTGGCATTTACTTTAAAAAATAAATAAAATATTTCTTCGCAAAAATCTACATGTAAGAGAATTAGCATAAACAAAATACAAATATCGTTAACTTTTTTTTAAATTGGCACGTGTAAAACTTTAATCAATCAATTTAATTTTCCCATCCCAAAATTTGAGTTCAATAACCATTTACTTAACCACATTACCACATTACTTAAATATGATTATTAAGTACTACTAATTCATATTACTAAAACATCTAAAATACAAATACATATGTATTTTTAAAATTAATTGTAAGTTCACCTCATCTCTCTTAAAAATTGTTACTTCTCAAAATTTCCCATTAAAAAAATAGACCATATACCGTATAAAATTAAATAATTGAAAGATCGGAAAATCACACAAATTTTCGGAAAAATTTTGACCAGCTGCACACGTACACAATCATCAATTTAAAAAAAAAACACTACTACTTTAGTATTTTAAATATTTTAAAACAAAAAAAAACGCAAAAATAGCACAGTATTTAGAAGGCAAGTTATAAAAATTTGGAAGGACTAATAATGCACTGACGCAGACAAAAATCAAACGAATACTAAATTTCATTTATAAACAGCATTCGATAGTCGTGGCTTAACGATAATCATTTAGTCGCACGGCGAGGTTGTCACATATGCTTTAGTATACAAATGAATGAATGATTTTATTCGAATGAAACCATTCGATAGTTGAAATCATTCATTCAGTAACCATTCGATAGTCTAATTCATTCGATAGTTCCCATCGCTACTTATTTTTATCTATAGATCATGCTGCCGAAGTTTCCGGAATACAGTCATATTAGAAACAGCTTTATGTGTACTTATTTTTCTATGATTTCTTATATTTTGTGGCAAGAAAGGACAACAAAGGTTAATTTTTTGCCGGCTGCCTTATTTTGCCTTGTTGAAATCGAATAGAAAGTGTTTAAATTTTCGGGTTAATCTCTTGAATATTTCAGTACCTGAATTGCTCGTTAACCATTAAGTTAAAGCCTCTCTATGTTTACTGATTTTTCTGGGATTTTTTTAATTAATACGTAATCCATCTTCATAAAACAATAGACCGAATCCCCATTGAATGCAGCCATCAAGCATCCGAATCACGCAATCAGCCTTTATCAATAAGCGCTTTCAAAGAAAATTAAATACGTGTCGATTAGTGGATTCATTTTCATGGAAATGAGGTCTTTAGAAATGATTTTTGCTTTCCGAACTGGGAGATGAACACACGGAACAAAATAGTATAGGGGAATATATTTAGTTTATACAGGGTGGCGCCTCTCATACTCCAAGGAGAAGGACAGTTTGTATTGAAATTAGTGATTGGCAAAACTGTTATTTTTAGATTAGAGTTGAAACTGTTATAGTTATTTATAAAAAACAGCTTAAAATAACAGATTAAAAATAGCAGGTTTCTTTATTTTATTGCTAAATATCTGAAAGAGTATGAGGCGGTTTTTCCGAAAAACTCACCGGTTTTTAAATAAAAAATATTCTAATATTTGAGGGTGGTTTCACCCCATTAGAATTCGAGTTTCGAAAAATCCCTTCTTATCGAACCTCTACACCCTAAAGTCAATCCGTTTTCCAAAAATCAGCTTTTTACGTCAAGAGCTTTAAGCAGGATCGTGATTAATCAATGACTAGATTTTTCAAAACACCCTGTGTACATTTTTAAAAAATCTTACAATATTATTCTGAAAATTTTTCAGAATAAATAAATACCTAAATATTGAAACTTAATAAGTAAGTACTGAAACATACAGCGCCATAATATCTCGGCCTCAAACAATGTATCTAAAACAACTGATGCGTTATTCTCCAACCTGTTTCGAACCTCCATCGACAATCAACCGATGCAGCAGCGTTACTTTCCCACACCCATTATCTCGACCGCCGCTCTGTTATGCTCGTAACAGGTTAAAAAGCAACGTATCTAAAATGACTGCTTCTCCAACCCGTTGCGAGCCTCCATCGACAATCGACCGATGCAGCAGCGTTCCTTTCCCACTCCTGTTATCTCGACCGCCAGGCGTTATGCCCGCAACAGTTTCAAAAAAGCTGCTTCTTTTATATCCTATTATTTTTAAGCTGTTGCAAGCCCTACACGACCATCGACCGATCCAGCTAGCATTCGCCACTCCGCTGTCCGGTGTATCTCGCCGCCTGTATCGATGGTTGTCGAAATAACATGTTTTCCATCCATAATCCATACTAGTTGTTTTTTGGAATTGCTTCGAGCTGCATCGAATTTCGTGGCGGTGCAGAGCGCCGACTTCGTTTTACGAACGGTCGATCTCTGCGTATCGTATTTTATATCTGTTATTTTTTAAAAGTAGTAACGGCTGCGTTATGTTATTTCTAAATAATTGTTATAAAATAACAGATAGTTAAATAACAACCCATCACTAATTGAAATGAACAATTTTTATAAATTACAATTTAAAAGCTACCTAAATTGGAATTTACCCGGTAGAGCCTAATACGTACTTAAATTAACTATTGTACTTTAAACCAAATTAAAACTTGATCCAAAAAGTTATACAGGGTGAGACAAAATTAATATTGAACATTGGTCACCTTTAAAAGCATGTTACTCTTTTATATTAATAGAATACTTAAATGCTCCCGATTTTATCTAGTCTGTTTTTTTATGGGGATATGTTAAAGACAGTGTGTACAAAACACGACCAACTATTGTCGACAACATGAGAGAAATTATTGTAGCTGCTTTTCGAGGTAGAACTCCACATATCTCTTTTAAAATGAGAGGATCCTTTTGAAAAGACAATCATTTTATGAAGTTAACAGGAAATCGTTTTGAGCATTTGATTTCATTTAGCTAATTTTCTCACATAATTATAGGTTTATATCTAGTTTTAATTCTGTAATAATTAAAATATGTTTTAAACGTGTATCTTTTTATTACCGTTGAGTATTTTACTCTACAATCTTTAATTTTTGTTAAATTAACAAAAGGTATATCACACAGCCACCCCTGGATTTTTTTAAATAATAAAGATCTACTGACGCAAAATCATAAAAATTAAAATATCTAGGAATATCTTTGTCTGTGGGGTAGGCAATCTTAATAATATTTTGAAGATATATATGTATATTCCCCATTGAACACCGTAGAATGTATTGGGCGTTCCATTTAAAATAAAGGAGTAACTTGCTTTTAAAAGTGACTAAAGTTTCAAATTAATTTTGTCTCACCCTGTATAAGATTTAGGTAGCTGTTATCATTAGACGTTTCTAGAGAACTACAATAATATCTACATCGGAGATTTTTTTGTACATCATTGTTCCACAATGAGATCTATCAACTAAAGATATTTTGAATATGGCGGCGCTTCCTGATATACCGGAAGTTGACAGTAACTTTCTTATTTTAAATAGGTACCCCCACGGGGGTGTCACTTGTATGGGAAAA